TTTAGTGGTCTACTTCTATTACAAGATTACATAAAACTGCAGCATTCTCAGAGTGGACTGAAAGCTATTACAAAATCAACATATTATTACAAAAAACAAGGTTAGCATTTGGCCTAATTGTGTATAATGCAGTGTATTTTCAGCAGCCTGACAGCATGCAGGCACTCTTACCAGATGGGAACTGGATGAATTATTGAAGGAAATATGAATTATTAAATAAAAATTTGAATTTTTTTAAACTCTTGGCAGGGGGTGAGAAAAAAAGGCTTATTTGTTTGCCTGAAACTGTCCTCACCTGTCGAAGCATGTAAAGATAGCACATATCACCACAAATGGTATTTATGTACCAGAGCCATTTTTTCCTATATTATTCTCTAATTCAAGATGCTCCCCTAACATAAAGAATTAGTAAACAGCACCAGTCATTCTTCCCTGCTTTTCTTTTGTGCCAATGCCAGTTAATAGGAAAACTTGCCAAAGGGACAGAATTAAAAATCCAGAGTCCCATAGTACCAGTAGGGCCCACTTAATGGGAGGGCTGGGATAACAGGAATAATCTCTATAGATGTGGGTTATATAGGCAATAAAATACACACCTTTGTAGCATGCCAGCATTTAACCAATCATAGAAGCTATTTGTTGCCTCATATATTACAAAGCAATAGAGATTTAAAGGATAATGTTCATGGAGGCAGAGGATACAAAGTAATAAACAGCACTGGAGGTTGGTTAAATGCCAAGTGAAGCCAGGACTATAGCACCATAAACATTATTCCTATTATATAACAAGATAAGTAGGTAAAGAAGCAGCCCTCCATCCCACCACAACTAGGGCTCTACTGCTACCCTTGGCCTCAGAAAGGGAAAGCAAGCCCCGGAGGCCTATGAGCTAGTTATACATTTCATGTCTCAGAAAGATATGAACAGACTCTCAACCTGTACCTAACTGTTCTCTGGGAGAAGAGAAGGTCCGGTAGCAGACACCCTTGGGAGGTGGGGGGATACAGCCCCTCAGGGACACAATGGACAGAGAAACAATCAAAGGATTTGTCCCTAAAAGGACAAAGTTGATACTGAGTGGTTATGATAGAAACCTTTCTCAATGGCTAATAATGGGATGATACTAATTATTCATTAATAGCATCTTCTCAGAGGAACTATGTTCCTGTTCTTAAGGAAATAGACATTCTAAGTAAAAAGCTTATATAACCAGCTTCTGCTCAAAGACTTGATTACAGTAACCGGAAAGGCTACTTAAATCTACATAATTTGTACTGCAAACCAGTGTCATGTGCCTGAGAGGGAGGTATAGGAATACAGAAATTGTTGACACTTGGTAAAAAAATTGGACTAAGAACTCCCTGGCGTCCAGTGGTTAGGACTCCATGCTTTCAGTGCCAAGAGCCCAAGTCCAATCTCTGGTTGGGGAACTAAAATCCCGCAGGCATGGGGGGTGGGGGGAAATTGTGGACAGGAAGTATCCAAAAGGTTAGCTTATCTAACCGTATCCACACAAAGTAACACCTCAAATTCAAGATTACTGACACAGACACAGTAGTAATTTTTCCTGCTTCCACATTCAATAAGAACAATTTTATAATCCACTTTCAAGTAAAAGTGCCCCTCAAAGCTTTAAAAACTTATAAGACTTCCTAGATTCAGCATCAAACTGTATTCCTATTATTTTAATAACACAGAGGCAAAGCTATTTACAGTTACAGAATTTGAAAATAGATGCTATCTTATAAACATTTTAAAACCCATAACACCTCAAATTCAACCAGCCCTTTACCACATAGTAGCATCTGGGGCTCTGTTGCCTTAACAACACTAACCCATTCTCTAAAGGCAGTTCTACTAACTGTAACAGCTACCACATTCCATAGAGAGATATTAGCAGGGATATTACTTTCCCCAAGTTCCTCTTCATGAGGGTGATGAGGCCTCAGGGGAAACAGAGACTACAGGAGAAGAGGAATGAGAGAGCTCAGAAAACCCTATCACCTGTCTTTTCAGATAAGTATGCAAAGAACACAACCTTCAGCAACCATCTTTTTTTAAAAAGTACATGTAGCGTATTTAGAACTCAGCTGTGTCACATCAGACTTACTGTTGGGAAGTGGATCATGAACAGAATCCAAAAATAACAGCCATTAAAGACCTAGCAACCAAAACATGTTTACGTATCCATTGAAGGCCCGCTGGTTTTGATTATATGGTGGACAGCATAATCCGCTAGTCTATTTTAGGTGAATTTTCCTTTCACCTCCCCTTAATATTAAAGTGTAAGATGATTTCTGAGTTTAGGGGTATACAGGGCAAAACCTGGGCAGAGAACAGATATTTAAATAATTACAGGATTCCTACAGGTTTTGTTTTATGCATAAATCTCTTGAATTATAATTTACTTTCATTCCTGCTTCCTCTAACTGGTAGAAGCCACTGATTTTTGAGGTTTCTATGGTTGCTGAGTTCTAAACATGCCTTGTGAAAATTACCATGGTCCTTATTACCTCTCCTGGGACTTATATAACCTTTTTATTATTCTTCCATTTCTGGAGTAACGACTTTGAATCAATGACGATCGATTATAAATGGGCTTGAAGGCCTCAAGGTGGCTCCAGAATGAAACCATTTTCAAGGTATATGAGGAAGCTGGAACAACAAGCCAAGGGTAGTTCACTTTACCAAATTTATCTTCTCTGCCAGATTTTCACTATTTTATATAACATAAAGCAATCACAGTAAGTCTTATAGAGATCTCTCTAGAGTTATTTGTTACTAGATATTGGGGGAAACTTGAAAGGAGACTAAACATAACTAAAGAACTACAGTCTCACACGACTAAGTTTTGACATGCAAAGGAGGTAAAGGATGAATCACACTACCCCAAAGCCTTAAGTTACAGCTTTTTATCCTTTTTTTCTATGAAACAAGTAACTTGAATCCAAAAGAAGGTAGCAACCTCCCTCAGTTTGACATTCACTGAGGGGGAAAAAAAAGACTTCAGAATCTATGTCAGAGGTTATAGGAATCCTAATAACCCAAACACCAATAAACAATTCAGAAATGGGAAGGAGTAAGAGAAGGAAAAGGCTTATGGAAAACAGAAACTGACAACACAAAAAAGAACTAAAGAGTCTGTTTTCCTACCTCTAGTTCAAAAACAATGCAAAACAAAAACTAAACCCTTTTGGGATCTCACAAATTTCAGTGAAAACTACATTTTTCTGATGAGACAGCCTGAAGAAACCCTATTGATATATTTTCTTTCTTAGAGAGTTTAAGAGATGCTTTTCCTATGTATTCCTTTATTTTTATCTTCCATTTTTATTTATTTAAGTCCTTGTCTGGGTAGTCTAAGCATACAACATCTAAGTGGGCACTGAGCAGCTTAAACAGTTCATGAAGAAAAATAATCTTTTCATCAAAAGTGCAGACTTTTAAAGTAAGTGAGATAAGTATTGTAAAAAAAGGTACCAGGTATCAATTATGGGAGTCACAGTAAGTACAATTATCAACAAATTCACACACAAAAATTTGGATAAATCAGATTCAGATGTGTACTTCAATAAGCCATCTGAAAAGTGAAATAAATTTAATTTTCCAAGTGGCTTCTATTGAAAAAAATTATATACATATATAAACCTTACAATGATAAATACTCAGAATATATTGGTTTTTCTTAGTCTTTTATGAAATGTTTAGCATTTATTCAAATCTGGAATCGCCCTTCTGACTATTTCTTGTTACCAACCCACCCCGTCCCCCTCTCAAATTCTAATTCTTAGGAATCTCTGGAACTTACTCTTTTCTTTTTATACTTCTTTAAGTATTTACAATGTTTAATAGAACTAGTCTGCAATCTCACATACTACCTGTAAGTGTCACTGGACAATCACATGACATATTCCTGTGTGTGTGTGTTAGCTGCTCAGTCGTGTCTGACTCTGCGACCCTGTGAACTGTAGACCACCAGGCTCCTCTGTCCGTGGAATTCTCCGGGCAAAAATACTGGAGTGGGTTGCCATTTCCTTCTCCAGGGGATCTTCCCGACCCAAGGATTGAACCTAGGTCTCCTGCATTGCAAGCAGATTCTTTACAATCTGAGCTACCAGGAAACTCTGGACATATTCCTAATGGAACAGAAATTCAACCCTTCAGGCTCCAGAAAATCAACTCATGAGGGAAACAAAACTTTCTTGATAAGACTTTCTTTGTATTCCTTTCTTCATCCTTTATGGAACATGGCAGAAGGGGAGGGTCCAGGAGTAAGAGTTAAGAAGGTATTGAATAAAAAATGGAAAAAAAAGGCAGTTTCAACAAAATTATTTAAAAAGTACATGATGAAAAACTATTTGATACATGATATTCATATAAACCATGACATGGCAGCTAACACACAGGAGGCATCTAACACCATCAGACAGGGAAAATGGAGAAATCCTGTATTTATATATTGCTGTGAGAGCTTGGGTTCTATGCTGAATTTGTCTTTCCTGGACAGGTATCTGCCTTAGCTGCTAACAATGATTTTCTGGGTCAACAATCAAAAGAAACTTTTTTTTCTTATTTACAAAATCCAAAATAGGCTCTGCCAAATAGAGGTTCACAATGAATGGGTGCATTTTCAGCTACTTATCCAAATATGTTGAACAGACTTTTATATTCATGAAGGCTGAAGAGAAGATATTTCTAAACTTGCTTTGTGTTTATATAAACAGCTTCAGAAAGGGTGCAAGAGCAACATGTATTCCTAAACACAGTGTGCTGGGAAACAAACACCAGTAGAATAACAATATGAAAGAGAGCAAGGCAGATTTCATTACAGTAGAGTGCCTACACTTCCTCATAACTTGGATTTACACACTGCAAATCCTCTGATCTGATTACCTCCAGTGATCACGTAAAACACCGGCTTTAAACTCTTTGCCTTAGTGATAAAACAGCCACTTTGATTCACAACGAGACATTCACAATAAAGTATATTGTAAACGTACCTGTCCACAGCCCGGGGCATTGCACACAAACGGTCTGTCGTCTCCCATATTTCATAGAGCAGAGCGGAGCTGAGGAGGGGGAGGTAGGGGGAAAAGTTATGTTAAATACGCTGGAGTTAAAAAAAAAAAAAGTGCTTCAAAAATATCAAGCCCAGAAACAGGTGTTCCAAGAATGCTGTCTATCAAAGCTGTAAACACAGGCTACTTTGGGGAGACCCATTAGACAGGTGGCATATGATCTACTGTGCCTCAATTTAAACTTTTAATTAGAAAAATGTAGACCTGAAGAGTCAAGGAATTTCAAACCTTTTGCTAGATTTTCCCTCTTTCTGCTATAGAATATAACACACTTCTCCAGTCTGCTGAATTACAACCAGTGTAGTTCCCTACGTCAATAAATCCACCGAACGCTTGATGCGGAAGCCATATTTCTGAACTAGAGAAGACCAAAATTTGTCATTTAATTAATTAAGGGATTATAGGAGGGGTGCTCCATTTTACAGGGCCATAATCTGGCTCCCTGGTGTATAAACTATGAGACTGCTGGCAAGGGCCGTTTATCCCAGATTATTGCCAAAGAAAACAAAGCACCCATCCTATTGGGCTACATGGGAAATGATTTTCATTAATAAAAAAAATAAAAATAAAACCTTTCTCTCCCTACGGGGAGCCTCCTTCTCCCCTCACCAATCATCTGTGGCAAATGGAGAAATATCGGTGCCCTTCCCCCCTGATTCTATTTATGGCTAGGTTTTTAAAAGCAGCAATAAAACAAATGTCGACTCTTTGGGGGTTTACTGGGTGAATATGTTCCGGCTGTTTGTGCTGCTCTCGGCCAGAGTTCTTGGACTGCTCTGTTGCAGCCAACAGATGTGAGCTGCTGCAGGGGATAAAAGAAATGGCACTAAAAGGCATCACCATCCATCCTCTCTGTTTCTCTGAAGAATTAACAGGGTTTATACTGTTGCTGTTTTTTAATTATTGAAGCTAAACTCTTGAAATGTTGATCAAAATTCTTTGTTAAAGAACAGTAATTCCAAATGAATGTGTTTGGGGAAATTTCTCACATCCTAACTAGGAATAAAAATAGAGGTGGAGATGGATAGATTAGAAATATAAATCATAGTAAAAATATTCCTGAAAGATATACCGTATTTTGAAGGAGTGAAAGAGAAAAAGGGGAGGGTCACAAAAATAGTCTTTTAAAATAAAATCCCTAAAGGACATTTTCAGACATCCTTCTACGAGAGAGAAAGCTGTATGAAAGAACAAGAACAAGGGAAGATGAAAGAGGAAGAACTACAATCTGAATATGCCTAGAAACGATTTCAGAACTATAGCCAAATTCTGAATTTTTATCTTGAAGATAAACCAAAATGTCAGGTTAACTTCAGTCAGGTCTACATCAAAATAAAATATTAAAGTGCTAGATGGAATCTGGCAATCAGAAACTTAAAAACATGCTTAAAACTCAGATGGGAGTGGAAACATCTCTCCTACTCTGTTAAGACTCACTCTGGGGTTGGAAGCCCGTATTTCTGGTAGTCTGATCAGTAATTCCACAACTAATCGGTGTTTAAAATTGTGGGGTGCCCCATAAAATAGAAAGGGCTTCTTAGTAATCCTTCAGTGTGATAGGAACAGGGTCTAACTATGAAGGAAACTGATGCTGCAGCACTGCTGTAATGGAAAAGAGCCTGTATGTACACAGGTGTACACAGATTTATATCACATTTAGCCAGGATAAATTGCTTCAATAAATTCTGTTCCTGGGAGAGGCCAGTTCAAGCTGATGACTGGGTACTGGGAAAATGAGAGCTTTATTCTTCACATAGCCCCAGGACAAGGGGTTTTCTGGTTTGTTTGTTTATTTTAAATACATGATGATTTTTTAGCACTTTCTACAACTACATCATAGTGCAAAAAATAAATACAAATATCAATATATAACAGTAAATACATCCAAAGACCAATGCCACTATGACTGAAAACTCAGAACATTTCTGGAAAGCAACTGATCTCCGGAAAAATTCCTAACAACTGCTGTGCTAGAGATAATTCTACTTCCTAGTCCCAGAACCTGCTTTCCTAATATAATCACTAAATGAGAATTTTATTCCAACAAGATCCTCTAACATATTTTTAACCGGGAAGCAAACTACAAGGTTTAGAAGAGATATAACATAAAGAACCAGGCAGGATTCCTAATTTTTTACCTCGGTTGTGTTTTTGGAGGCTAAGTTTCCTCAGTTTTCTACCGGTTTAGAGGGAAAAAAGGGTCTTGGCTGAGGAATGGGACAGTACTGGAATGATTTTCCTCAAACCACAGAATTCAAAATTTTTGCTTTTGCACAGTCACATCACAATATATGGTTTTCAAATTTTATTTCATGGCTCCCTTACTAAGAAATAGAGATGAAAAACTAGGATTTTCTAAAAGTGGGGAAAAGGGCAAAATAAGTTTGGGGGAAAAGCATTAAAATGTAACAGAAGCAAGCATTCTCATGCCTCTTAAATACTCAAGTTTGACAGTCACTAACTAGGATTTCCTGCTTCCTTCCCATTTTGTTGGCTTTGGTCTTGCCATTTTCATCAAAGGGAAATGGGAGGAAGAAGGCCTTCTCTCTTAAATACCTACAATTCTCCTTCTTCTTTTTTGGCTGTAACACAACACATGGGATCTTAGTTTCCTGACCAGGGATCGAACCAACGCCACCTGCACTGGAAGCATGGAGTCTAACCACTGGACTGCCAGGGAAATCCCCCTACAATTCATTCCCTCAGTCTCTTGCCTTCTTTCATTTCCATCATTCTTGCTTTTAGCTTTAAACTGATGTCTCTTAAAAATGAAATATTTAACTACAATAATGATCTGTCTCCCCACTTAAAAAAGAATTTCCAGTTAGCATCCTTTAAAAAATTTCTCTTTCATTCCCAATCTGTTGTATCAACTGCTGGACATAAAGGATGCCATTGCTTATTCCTCTTTGATACTTAAATCTCTAATTATGAAAGGTCAAGCTAATGCCTTCTCAAAAAAACAAATAGCAACACATTTCTGTAGTACAAAGACTGAGATAAAAGGTGAAATCTTGAATGATGATGCTGTCATTCACTAGAATTTAACTCATAGCCCATCTGTAACTGTACTGCTTGACAAGTAGATCACATGTCCATGCATGGCACTCAAGTCTGTGGTCTGTTTCTCAATCTATTCTTCAGGATGAAACGCAAGCATTTTACAGAACTAAGCAATAAATAACAGACAGAGGATACACATATTTAGAAACATTTCCAAGGAAAAGTGAAATGTTCTCAATGGAGATCTCAAAACAGGAAAACAAAGATGCAAAAAAGGGCTGTCCTAGGGGCCAAGAAAAAGGCTCACACACTCAGATTCACCAGAATGCACGAATGATAAAAACTGGTCTTCACTTAAAAGAAAGTTATTTGAATGCTGACAGAGAAAAAAGTGAAGAAAATCCTAGGTTTAGAGAATGATTTTTAATGATTGGGGTTATTTAATAGAATCTTTCTTATATAATTTTGTCAGAGCCAGAAATATATCCTAAAATGTATATAAAACGTATATACATAAGTATATATATGTTTATCTATCCTTTTTTAAAATAGAATGAGGATGGAGTCTGTCACTGAGGTCTACAAAGTCAGTTCTCTGGAACTGGTTGTAATATGATCATTTCTTTAGTAACCAACTGATGTTAATAAGATGACCCAACTTTAGGTAAGGAATAAAAGCCATGGTTAAGGAATAAAAGCCACGTAGAAACACACTCAAGGGCCTGTTTTAGGTTCCTAATAACAAAAAGCAGATATTGCTAAGTACAAAAAAATGAGAAGTGCATATACACCATAAACATCAAAGATTCATGAAAATCTAGAAGGGGTTCAGCCTAACTACCATGCATTCATTCAAAAACATTACTAAGATATTATCTAGGGTGAAACAGATCACCAGCCCAGGTTGGGTGCATGAGACAAGTGCTCGGGCCTGGTGCACTGGGAAGACCCAGAGGGATTGGGTGGAGAGGGAGGTGGGAGAGGGGACCGGGATGGGGAATACATGTAAATCCATGGCTAATTCATTTCAATGTATGACAAAAACCACTGCAACGATGTAAAGTAATTAGCCTCCAACTAATAAAAATAAATGAAAAACAAAAACAAAAACAAAAACATTACTAAGAAATTACTAAGTGCCAGGCAAAGCAGACAAAAATAAAGACAACAGTCTTTTGCAAAAAAAGAATCTCTCATCTGGGTGAAAAAAAACCCAGAACTAGACAGTAGTTAAAGCAGTAAAAAACAGATTTTATTTAGGAGTATTGCAACAGAAGCTAAGAGACTTCAGTACATAACTGGGCTCAGTTTTGAATACACCATCAGTGACTGGGAATTTATAGCCAAGGTTCAGAGTGGGGGCCAGTGACTAGAAAATTACCAAGAGGAAACACAAGGGATAAGGAAGAGTCTGGTTAAACTAACCTAGCAAGATTCTTCCTGAAGACAGGCCAGGATGATCAGACATCACCTGAGGGATGGTAGAGGATGAAGAATCTAATCAGATATGAGCGTGAACAGATATTGAGGGGGAGGGGGTTCTTGCTAAACTGACTTAGCAAGGTTCTTGCTAAGATTCATCTTTAGGATCAAAAAGTAAATTTAATCATTAAAATATTTGAGAAAGCGATGTATGAAACTAATAACTAAGATTCATCTTTAGGATCAAAAAGTAAATTTAATCATTAAATTTACTTTTAAAATTAAAAAATTCATTAATTCACTGAACACCTTTATTCAGTGCCTAACACACACTCTAGGCTCCAAAATTCAACAATGAGTCAGACAAGGTATCTGCCCTCATAGTGGCTTCCTTAAGAGTCTACAAAGATTAAAAAAAAAAAAAAAAAAGAGTCTACAAAGATGAAATAAACGCAAGTTAAAAATAATTTCACAATAATAGCAGATAATTGCTATAAAAGAAATGCAATGGTAATGTGTTAGTAACAAGGAGTGGACTACTTTAG